AATATATATAAGTGTCAGTAAACATTTCTATGGTGATAATAAAATTAATAGCTATTTTTAAATATTCTATTGTTTATATTATATTAAATACACATCTCGACGGAACATAGATGTCGTTGATTTAAATTCTTCGAAGTAGAGGTCGCTACAATCATTGGTTTTTTAGCGCACTCTGCACTTAAACCATTGACTAAGAGAGTCCAGTACTTTTTCGTGTCTCAGGTTACAGACGAGGTACATACATATACTCAGTTATATGTACAAGTCTATTCATAAATAGACATTGCAACAATTAGTGGTTGAACAATTATTAATCTTTGATAGAATTTGATTCTTATTTTTTATTAGCTCAGTATATTTTCTTATTTAGTAAGATTTTTCGACATTAATGTGTGATACATTGGAATAAAACGTTGGCGGTAATTTTGTGTATATCTGATAATGGCTCGTAAGTAAATGCTTTACTTAAATCAAGAAATATTTATTACATGTCACTGCAAAACACCATTAAACGAAATTAATTCAAAAATATACGGAACATAATAAAATTTATTTTTTAGCCATAACCAAAATAATGGATTGGACACGAGAATATTTTATCACAAATAAATCGGATTGTAATTTGATATTGGAAAATCTAGATGTTTTGAAAGAAATTCCATTGTTAAATAACACTCCTGTTCATAAATTAAAGGATGGACAGTTAGTGAGATTCAAAGGGATGATTCAAGATATGCACAATCCTGAATATTATTTACAAATGTATGAAGTCAAGAATACCCAAACTAAAACATATCAATTAAAATGTGGAATGTACACAGATTCCGCTAAATGTTTGGTAATTATTTAATAATAATTTTATTTTAGAAGGCCTTTTAACACACCAGTGTGGGGCCAATAATAAATACATGGCAGTTCAGGTGTGGGATGTGAAAAGAACAGCTTATCTCATGTATGAAACTGCCTACATTATTTTATTTTTAATACGAATATTTAAAAATGAAAAATTATTTAATATTTTATTTGTTTGAAAGCTTATAACCTCATTGTGCATATTTTGTAGCCACATGAAATGATTTTATTGGAATCGGAGAAAAATCAAAGTTCAGAAAGATATACATGTATTGTAATTTCAACTCCTGGTTTAAATAATTGGGCAAAGGAAACATATGAGCAGTTACATTATTCAAATATAGAATCAATGAATAAAAGAAATTTAGATGAAGATAATTTTGAGACAACAAACTTGGAATTAACAAAAAGAAAAGAAAAACTGTCATCATCCAATAGTAGCGAGAAAATAGATGTAATAAGATCTAATACAAGTAAACAAAGTGCATTTTCAATGGAATATATATTAAATTTTCCAATCCCTATGGATGATGGTAAAGCTTGTATTGTAAAGGTTATTAATGAATTTTTAACATTCACTTTATATAATATTAAATAATTTTTAAATGATATATAAATGTTTGAAATTGTTTAACATATTTTTTATACATAAATTGTAGATATATGAAGATATATCTTTAAAATTGAATCAAATTATTGAAGTAATAGGTTTTATATCTTTGGATCCTCTTTTAAATATCATCGATGATTCAGATGAGATTATGACAGAAGCTGAAATAATTGTGCACCATCCACCAGCATCTCTTGTCCCTCGATTACACGCTATAAAAATAATCCATTCAACTAAAGATATAAAAATTGTTCCGCAAGTGATGTCTAAAGTAGAATTAATAAGAAATGATCTTCACCTAATATTAAGTCAACTTCTGTTTGGGGATCATCTGGCTGCAGATTATTTAATCTGTCATTTACTTTCATCAATGTAGACATATTTAATAATTTTTTTTTTGTTTCACAAAGAAACAAATTGACTACGAACTATTTTTAAATTTGTTGTTTTAATTTTAGTTACATGAAGAGGGATTGCTTTTGTCTTGGTACTTATCCACTAAATATAACACACTTCCCTACTAAATATAAAAAATTTTCAAAGGATTTATATAAATTTTTATCTTTATTCACTGAGAAAAGTTATTTATTAGAAATTACTTTAGAAAATTTAAATAATTTGACATTGTTGCCAAAGTAAGTATATAAATTTCAGTAAATACAAAAGAAAATCTTTTTTAAAAGAGTTAACTTGCTATATAATTTTAAATATTTGTATTTTTATTACTAGGAAAGATTATGAGTGTAATAGGCTAACTAGTGGAATACTCCAACTTAGTGACAATACACATCTTGTAATAGATGAAACAGAATTAACTACTGGTCAAATTACGCAAGCTGGACGAGAAAATTACAATGCGATTTGTGATTTGGTTAACTTTCAAAAAGTTATATATGATTTTAAATTTTATAAAATAGAATATGATACGGATATTCCAATTTTAATTTTATCAGAAGCTAAATCTTTTATTCCTGTATGAAAAAATTTATATTAGAAACATTTCATATTTATTTACATTTATAAATAATAAGTAATACATTTATTTTAGTGTCAAACTCAAATTGTTCTAAAAATAGATTCAGAATCAGAAAGCATTTATCCTCAAATAATAGAAATCACTGAGCAGTGTTTGAAAGATGAAAATCGATTGACAAATATTCGACAGTATTTAAAAGTTATACGAGATACGAAATTCGAATTTAATGATGAAGATGTTACTAAGGTACTTGATATTACTTGATATTACTTCAAATATTATTTTATATATATTAAATAATATATATAATATTCAAATTTTTTTTTATAATGTATATGTATTTATAGTACAGTATAATATAGTATAAATACATGTAGTATTATATTATATCATAGTATATAGTATATTATGTATTATATTATATCATAGTATATAGTATATTATGTATTATATTATATACAGTACAGTATAAATAAATATTGCTAAATAATATAATATAATATGATATAATATAATAATACAAATATTTAAAATGTCCTTGTGGTACAATCGAATGAATTTACATGCGAAAATAAGTCAAAAAGAAAGAATAATTTTTTTTCGTTCAAAATTTAGTTTTTAAGAAATGAATTTTGTATAAGATGCTCCATTTTAATCTATAAATGCAATTATTTCTGAAAGTGTACGGTTCTAAAGAAACTTTTCGGTTGCAAGGAGAAAATAATTTAATGTTAATTTTTTAATTGAACGTAAGCTTCATTTTTTTAAATGGAATTTCATAATATTTTGGTGCACTAATTGATTCATCTTGGTATTCTCTATAAAAATATATTAACTTATTTATGTCTTAGATATTTTTACTTTAATTTTGCAAAATCTATCATATGAAAAATAAACATAAGAACACCGCTTATATATATATTTTACAAAATTAAAGGTAAGATATGTTTTAAATTAATTTTAATTAATTTTTAACATTTTTTAAACTTCGGCCACATACAGAGCACGAATCAAAAAGTGAAAAAGAATGAAACACACTATACAGCTATTGACAATAAGTTACAACTCTGTATGTAACCAGTCTTATCCAAACTATTTTTTTATATGAATAGTGTATTAGTAATTCACATTTATAGATTAAAATTAATCAACATGTTATTACAGTTTTATAATAATAAGCATATATGATATGTTAATATTGTTCATTTTTTTTTTTTTTTTGTTTTTTTAGGAAATTCAAAATGATTTCATACAATGGAAACAAAGAAATAAAAATGCTGATCATTTACATTCATTAATGGTATTGGCTAGATTATTGTCTTTGTCGCATGGATGTAATACTTTAACTATAGAATATTGGAGAAAAGCATTCCAAATGGAAATAGAAAGATTAGATAGAATAGATAAATTGTTAGAGAAAAAATAAATTTTTAATTGTTAATTTGTATTTATTTATTATATTTCTACGTATTATATTTCTACATGTGGAAATTTATTATTCTTTTGTACATTTTAATAAATAATTTTTATAATATAAAATTTGTTAATATTCTATTCCAATAATTTATTAATGTATAGTAGGCAGATTGAAAGATTTACATTTTTTGTATGCTAATATCCTAAAAGTAATATTCTATTGAATACATAACATTATTGCTAAATTCCATTTCACGTATGAAATAATGTCTTTTTATGTTTGAAAAATGGAAATAGCATTACATTATATTTACAACTTTACATTATTCTTAAAAAATATTTCTAATTTAGAAATATTTTCAAGACTCAAATGTTGACTAATTTATATAATTATATAAAAAAAAAAAGGAAGCAAAATATCTTGATCTGCTTTTAATTGAAATGTCAAAGAAATTAGAACTAAAAAAAAATAATAGACAGCATTCATTTTGTGTAAGAATATAATAAACGATTATATATATATTGTTCTTCTCGTAATAAACAAAAGAGAAAATGCTAGAATGAAAGGAAGTCAAAATAAAGATTATTAACCTTTTACGAACCAATTATTAATACGAAATTTAGTCGAAATTGTCTTTTGTTCGTTTTTTGTTGAAAACTTGATGCAAATTATTACTTAGTCTTCAATTATTACCAATAAAATTTTCATAAAACAATACATATTTTTATTGCTAATATCTTCACCAAGAATCAGAATCAAGAAAGTACTTGTTTGCAAAGAATTAATAATTCTCTTTGTGTTTTGATTTGTTATCTGCAGCATAAAAATAAAAATAAATTTCAAATAAAAATTATTGTTAAAAAAGATTGTTGATTTGTAGATACATTAAATGTTTTTTTTTTTTTTGTTAAAATAAAATTGTAATAAAAAATTAGATAAATTCAAGTTTTGGCGACATTAGTTTCATCGAAACGAGTCACATTTAAAACTTTCTCTACTGTATTAGTGTCTTTTAATTTGCCAAATCTCCCTTCACGTTCCTTTCGAACTAATTCCAATCCTTTCTTTGCAGCTTGTGCATATCTTTTCGAAAGCGCAACTTCTCCTTTCACACCTGGAATATGACCGGTATAGCCTACAATTGGTGGTTTTTCAGGAGAAATTTCATAATCTGTAACAATAATGTTTTTATAACGTAAAGTTCATTTCAAGATTGATTGATTGATCAAAATATTCCATTTAATCTTTGCTATTTTTCTCATATTTTATAAAATCCTCGATCGAAGGCTCAAAAGGAAATTATAATTAAATCAACGAAAACTTTATAATGGAAGTATTACGTACGAAATGTGGTTAGTCGATTTTTATTGTTACAATCATGATCATAATCGTTCGATACACGCATATCTGTGCCGTTGGTTCGTGTTCGGAGTAAAAATTGTCTAGAGCTAACGTCCTTTTCGATTTTAGAACACGTAAGATCTCTACGAGCTTTTAGTTTAATTTGATTTTCGCACCATTCTTTGGCACCTTCTTCTACTGCTTTCATAAAAGACAAACCATATCTATTGTTAAACCCAGGAATATATCCTATAATCAAACAATTAACTATATTAATTAATTTATTCTTAAATAAACCAATGTAATACGATTCTTCAACTCCACCTCAAATTTTCATTCGCCCAGTATAGTATCTCGATCTATTTACCAGTATATCCTAAAATGTACGGTGGAGCTTTGAAGAGATGCACTTCTTTTTGCGCGTTAGTATCTTTCTCGTAAATAATAGTCGTATTTTCGTGTATATCCTTCTCAAAATTGGGTCTATAAGGACCTGTCTTGAGGATTTTCTTTTGAAGTAATTCCTGCATGATGCAATATCATCATCCTTGTGGAAGAATTTTATTCATATCTTCGTTCTTTCTTTCTGCTTTTTTCTTTTTTTTTTTTTTTTTCTAAGTGCAGAATCAAATTCTTATGTATCATTCGTAAGCTCTTACCTTCATGATTTCTTGAGTACACGCTCCGAATCGTTTCCCAACGCGAAACTTCAGGGTTGGACAATGTCCGGTATAACTGAAAAGACAAAATAGATTTATCAGATCAGAAACAATAATTACACGATTTTCTTGGCGGCTTCATTAACCTGAAAGTATAATTGAACAAGGTATAAATAATAGTCATAATAGAAGTAGTAATTACAAAAGCTGGCATAAATAAATTAATAAGCTTAATTCCAAAGAGAAGGAATTATAAAAACGACATGGTTAAAAGTACAGTTCAGCTTGATCATCAACCAAACAACGCGCATGTGTTCTATCGAAATCAAATTTAAATCGATTCGAAATAAGCTAGTTTTCGGTGATTAATCATATCAAAAATATTTTATATACATTTTTACATTATAAAATTATATATATATATATTGTATGTCACATATATTTACAATTACATATCGTGTTTTTTTTCTTCAAGTGTCTTTAAAATCTTCGACCAAATGAATTATTTTTTCTTTATCAATAAATTGATTTTTTTATCAATTCATTTAACAATTCCATAAATACAAGGGTGTAATGTAAATTGACTCGAGTCGATTGATTGGAAGTAATAAATTAATGATTTGGTAGTAAGATAAGAAGTACTTAAATGAAGAAGAATTATAGCAAAGTATAACAAAGAGTTTGGTGTGTAATTATTAAGATTGATAGTTGCTTATGGCTTATAGCATACAATTTCACTCATTGCATACTTGATTACTTCTAGAATAGTATTTTTTTTTTTTAAATCGTTGATGTTCTAATTTATTGTTACAATTATCGTGCAGATGATTGAATAGATGATATTACACTTATAGCATTATTTTAGTATTACAACAGTCCCATCGGTTATTTTATTACGCTCGTCCTGTTATATCATACAAAATGTACATATATGGTAATATATTTTTTACTCGAATTGATTAAAACATAAAATCTCAAGTTTTTTATATAGTAACAATAGCAATATCAACATTAAAATATTTTACTCTTATATGTTATAGGTCGTATTATTTATCACAATTATCAATATAATAAAGTGATATGCGCACTATGACTTAGTTATATGGGTCGTACACACCTTTAATTATTCTGAAAAACTAAAGTTACGTTTAATTATTTTTGAAACTCTTTCTGTTATCTAATTGTAGAAGCAACGACAATCTTTTTATTTCACACATTATTAAACACAATGCGAAAGTCCTTTCGAAAAATCATGTCAATTGATCACAACGTTAAAAATGCGTTTATTTGTATTTTGAAAAGATTTGTTCTACCATATATCATCACGTGCCTATTGCATTGCATGTGTTACGCAACCAAAAATAAATGGTATTAACAGGAAACGTTTAGCGTTAACAACGTAAGTAACAAGTTGCAAATTCAGTGCTGTTCGATGGTGATGCATGTGTTTGCCAGAAATGAAAATTCGATTTCATCTTGAAAGGGGCGAAAGGAATAAAAAAAAAAAAAGAAAAATGCTTAAATCGAATAACATTAGTATTATTTTCACAGACATCGAGAGAATCTTACCCAGGCAAATGAGCGGCATAACTTTCTTTAAAAAATTGTTTCCTCTGCTCTTCAGACACTGGATCGAAGACCATTTTTCAATCGAGTTTTTTAAGTGCAATGTGTATGGCATTATAATTATCGTATTAGATCAACTTTTATTGTTTTCATCTTTTTTTTTTTTTCTTGTCAATATTCACACTTTGTAGTCGTTGTTACGTTTTTCTTTTCCAATTTTTCGTAATGTGGAATCTTTTACAGTTCGTTCATAACTAAAGTTTAAAAATGTGAACGAGATGTAACTAGCAATGCGAAAGTTGCGCGATTCATCACGAAACATGTGTATATATCGTTCGGTTTATCAAGATGTTCAAAATATCTTGGAATATATTGATGAACGATGCAAGTGAATGTTTCAAGAAAAAATTCTTTAAAAAACTTGTGTAGGTCGTATTAAAATTTTTGAATAGAAACTTATACTTTTTTGTTATTTTTTTTCATAGCTATTGTTGAGACGTTCTCAGAATTTTACAAACTTGTATCTTTTGCTCCATTCGTTACACGAATCATCACGGCATCAAGATGTTTTTTTCTAAAACAATCAGCCAGTTTATATAGTTCTTTGTATTGCACTATGAAAAGTAAGATAACAATAAAGGCTGAAATTTGTAGTTTTGAAAATATTTGAACTAATATAAGGGTATGAAATAAAATATTCTGGTTCTCATTAAAAAATTTTATAACAGCCATCATATATGGCTAAATAGATATGGATAAAAGCATAGTATGTCTCCTTTGATGAACTTTTCTTTGAAATATCATTAACATACTGTACGGGTATCTATATACATATATAGTAATATGTAATCGTATACTGCATATCACGAAGAATCGGAACAAGTGTTACACGTGCTACGTGCATTATAAGTGGATAAAATTATAATATAAAATGATACTGCACACAGTTTCATGCAAAAATAAAAAATATTATGTGAAAATCTTTCCTCGTCGATTCACGCACTTCTGTTAAAAGTTTCAAATATTATTTTTTTTATGAAATTACTTCGTATTACTGTATTATTCGTGTTTGTAATTTTGTAAACATTGTACGTTAAATAGCGATATATATTATATATCCATATTGTTTACTTATTTATTGTGTTAATTCCTTATTCTAATTTCAAGAAAGAAAGGATCGGGTCGAAGTTAGCAGTTTATTGAACAGGTCACTTGCCTCTTTTAGAGTAATCGAAAAGATTATATTATAAACCAAAATAATCTAGATTCACAAAATAAATTTAAATCTTTGTTGAAATAATTGAAAACTGCCAAAAATTATATATATATATATATATATATATATATATATATACACACACGTAACAAAAAAAAAAATATATATATATATATATACGTATGTGTATATATATATACTAGCAGCACACTGTGAAACCTCCGTTTTACAATTATAAATGAGAAGCGTCTAACACGTTACCGTTTTTCTTTCGCGTTTCATCGATAACTGGATACGATTTAGTACCAAGCAATGGTCTCCTAGGAGTAACTCAACTTCGTTACCTTCATGAAAATCGATACACATAAGAGGTGGGGAAAATGAGAAGAAAGAGCACTTGAATGCGGCATGCAACAAAGCAAAAAATCTCACAATCACACAGATTACCATCAATCTTAATTTAAATTAAAGAATGTATTGAGTATATATTTAGCTTATAAAAATAATAGACTATGAGGCAATCTGTACAAGCAAATCATTTAAACGATTTATTTTTCGTTACATGTGAAAATATCTATAGATCTGGTGACACTTACAAACTGTGTTATCTGACTGAGGAAATTGAGAAAGGAAAAGAATACACGTACACGTTTTATCAAAAGTGCATTTCTCTAAATTTTATGTATTACGAATTACATATATATATATATATATATATACAATAATTATATAACTTTCGCAAAATGTACGGGCTATGTACACACACATGCGTATGCATGTAACATACACATACATATGTATATATACATGAATATATTCTTTTATGAGTTAAATAATACTTTGTGAATTTCAGTTCGTTTTCACATATCTCGTTTCCAAATGTCATTTTTATTTACTTCGATCAGTGAAGCTTCGCTATCTAAAATTGTACAAAATTGATCTCAAAGAAATTCAATGAGATTGAACAATCAGAATTTTGTCGGCAATGTTTTAAATATAAATTAAAACTTTTTATTTATTCTTGATTGATTCTTTCACTTGTCTAGATTCTTCTTTATATATAGTAATAAAACCAATATTGGTCGAGTGCTAATGAATTAATCTTCAGTCAAAATTTCAAGGAGAAGTCGTTTCAAACTGTCGAGACCAGTTAGAAAACCACAATCCGGTCCTTGATGTAGTATGGAAGCATGAGAGTTACAAGCCATGGTGGAACCATGAACAAAAGTTGTGTGTGCAAAGTCAATTATTCTTACGTCAACCCGTGCCTCGTGAGGTTTCTGCTTCACCTTCTTCGATTGATAAGGATATGAGATATATCTATGAAGTGAATTTATATTGTTATTTGTTTTATTAAATTGTGAACTGTCAATTTAATAGTTTGATAAATTTATACGTGTTTCAAATTAATTGGTTTTTCTTTTTTATTATGATTATGAAATACCTGTTTGACATATTAGCACATTCGAGTTCTCCTTCTAATCTCCCTTTCTCGTAAATGTGAAATAACCGACTTCCGTGTTTTTGCCTCTTTGATTCAGAATCCAACGTGATTTCTGTATCAGAACTAGCATCTTGTGTCTCATTGTCCGAACTTCGTGTAAAATAAAATTCATCGTTTGTAGTGCCATAAAGCATCCATTGTTCGTATTTCGGAGACTGAAGCATCCTGTCGATCAAGCTGTCCGTAGATTCGACGAAAACTGTCTTCTCGCTGCTGGGATTGTCAGTGGATCATCGCATAGAATGTATTATTTTAGTATTGTTTGATTAATTTTTTTCTTTAAATATTATCAAATATTTTAAAATTAGTAAAATATATAAATATGGGCCGCGCAAAAAGTTCGCAATGTCTCGACTTTTCATATAAATACATATAATATCTATTTTTCACGAATGAAATAATTAACCTTATAATACAATAAAACTTCATAGTAAGTACACTTCATAGAATCGCATCATGTCCTATTATTTGATTAATTTTATATACACTTATATATAATTTATTATACATATATCTATGATACATATCATTTCAACTATCAACATGATATACGTGACGAATCATACGTGATAAGTAATTGGAAGAAACGAAAACGCAAATTAATTCATGATAACACCAAATTTTTTTTATACAAATTTACTTTAGAGATACTTTGAATAACAACAACAACAACAACAACAATAATAATAGAGGAAAAGATAAATTAAAAATTTTTTACGAACGATTAGAAAACTTTTAGATTTAAATCCATTTCTTGAGGAGATACAACGAAGTTTCGACACAGCCCCATTATTAGATTTCACATGGTACAGTGTATGACCTCTTACCATCTATTAATAAACCCTTTTACTGCTCAGACCGGGCATGCAGGCCCTGTGGGTCATATATTTTCGAGTAAAAGAGAATGTTTACATCTCAATATACAGGATGCAAAGTAAATGGCAATTCCTTCCAAGAAATTTCTTTTTTAATTTCATGGTACAAAAGTTTTTCACTGTGCATTCAATGTACTTATATTGTACAAATGTATTGTATAATGTGTATATATGTTTCATAAAATAATTTATATGATTACTAAATATTATTACATTTTATAAGAGAATCAGTTTTTAAAACTAATATCGTACAATTTGCATTCTTTAGGATTTGTTCATTTAATGAAGTTGATTTCAAGAGAAGATAATGATAATATAATTTTCTTCATTACTTAATTGTTAACTCGAGGTTTAATTAATTAAACTTCATTACTTAATATTGTATTTCATATATCTACAACTTTTCAGTTCTTAGTGTCATAAAATAGCAGGAATACACACGCGTGTATATAGTTTTCTTTTACATATATACATATACATTTCAAACTCGTGAAGATAAATTAAACATTAGTAATTTGTATAACTTTATTTTCCGTGTATTAAAATTCACCGCTTATTAAACGTCTTGCATACTTCATTTCATTTATCACATAGTGATCATTTATCAGTATCATATAATATATGATTAAATATGATCGAGATAAAACATATATTCACTGAATTGTAGAAAAATAAACCTAACCGCACGCACACTTACATATGCATGTATATTTATGTGTTATGTGTATATATATGCGAGTTGAGAATGTAATGTTAAAATAATCTGTGACGCTACTAAAAAATAAAAATAAAAGATTGATCAAATTAAACTAAATAAAAAGATTCTTAATGTTCTCAATTCTGAAGAATTGTAGCTATCAACTGTTTGTCGATGAGCGGAATTGAATGCAATATCTCGCATTTACATCTCTTAAAATTACATAATTTTCTTAAAATATTTTATCATATTTCGCAGTAATTGTATGAAAAACGTAATACACATAAGACAAGTAAACATTGTTCATGCAAGTTATTGAAAGTATTAAAATGTGATGCATCGTGATCAGTTTTACAATGCATCTAAAATATGAGTTGGATTTTGAACACAGAGAATGTTTCTGTCCAGATTAAAAAGTCTATTTTTTCATTAAGAATATGCACTACATATCTTATAAAACATTCTTTGTATACATATATACATACGTATACACATACATATATATATATGCAATACAACGTAAATGTCCCTTTAATTTCTTTGATTCTAGTACATGAATATTGCACCTAATAACTTTTATAGAGCTGTATTTTACTCTGGAGCAACAATATACCTACGAAAGGATTTTGAAATCCACCATTTTCAGTTCTGATCCTCCCCTAGTAAGAAACTGATCGGGCTCGAATAGAGGAACTGGTATTTCCGCGCTTTATTATAGTTCGGCCGTAATAAAGAGCAGTTTTCTAAAAAGTGATGGTACTCAGAAATAAACATGCTTAAATAATGAAAATATCACACTGTCAGTTTGTTAGTGTAACAACGTAGTAAAAAATGGCTTTACTGATAAAAGTCTTCAAGTTAAAGTTCGCACTAAGTGTAAAATATTTAATTATTTAATTTATTAATCTTCGCGAATCTAATATACTGAAAATAACTTATAATACATTAACTAATGTATTTAAAATGATTTATAATACATTAATAGAATATTAAATATGTCATATGTAAATATTAGTAAGAAATAAATCATATAAGTCTTTATAAATTATAAAATAGTTCTGCAACAAATTTTTCGAATGAACAGAAATTTAGGTATTAAATATTTCTCGTATAACTATTCACACAGGAAATATTTATAATGTCATATCATATAACTAATTAAATAATTTTAATTGTTGCAAATGTCAATACACTAAGGTGCTGAATGTGCGACATTTTCTCTAAACCGGTACATGTAATTGAAATAAACAATTCGAATATAACAAATCATCGTAATAACTAACCCTCCAATTTTCTGATGGAGTATGTTATATCTTCAAATGTAAGATATATTTACAGAATTACTAACATTTTAGTATGTGCAAGTTGTTTTAAATATCATGGTTCTTTGATCTTCATGACTTTCTTTGATTACTTCAGGATTGATATAAATTCTAATGAATATATTGTAATAATTCTAATGATTTATTTCAAGAAGAAAAACAAGTATAAAGAAAGGAAAAAAAAAAGGAAAGGAAAAAGAAAAAAGAAGAAGGAAAGGAAAGTAATATATGTATACATATGATTTAGATGAATTGTCACAAATATATTGAATGAAATGCACGCGTAATCTGATATCTTATAATTACATACTTCACCAGGCAACGCATGTTTCAACTTCTATTTTGTATCGGAGGGTTAAACGTATCAAATCAATCAATGTTTATGTCTGTATGTTCAATTATTATCTAATTATAATATACAATAGAAAGAAAAAGAAAAAAAATTTATTATATTCCTAGTGTTGTAATACATGAAAATAATACATCAAAACAGTAAATATACGATTAAATCAATAAATGAACAAATATATGGCTAGTTACTTGATAAATAAATAAAAGCATATAAAAAAATTTCATCTGAAGATTATTCTACCATAAATTTTTAATAGCATCACAACGTTAGGAACTTAATTAGATCGTTCCATATCGAATCGCTTTTTATTACAAATGGATTTTTTAAAAAATTGTAATCATAAATTAAATATCATATGTTAATTTCAAGTTTATGTATCTTCATAAATTAAATATCATATGTTAATTTCAAGTTTATGTATCTTGAGATTCTACTGTGAGAAATAATAATAATTTTATAGATTTTAATAATTAGAAGAAATCAAAACGGAACGATCTATATCTTTTATTCACACATACTAATGACAATGTTTGCTCAATGAGCGAAAAAAAATCGATCACAAACCTTGTAGGGTAAAAACTGGCGATACGTTTGGTCCCTCTAGCTGCCGCTTCAACAAATTCTCTGCATAAAGTACTCGTTTGGCGAATTTCCTCTTCCATAGTAATATTATAATCTGTGGAACTGTTATTTATGTCACCGTCGTAACAATTGTCTGACGTATGAGCATCATTGGTAACGAAACTAGAATTAATTGATTCATCATTCATTCGTAATACAGGTAACGAATGATTACCTCCCGAAAATTCCCTTTGATAACCTTCGTAAACTACTAATAATGAACTGAAACAAATTTAAATATATACTTTAATATACTTTATATATATATATATATATATATATAAATATTATATATATATATAAATTATATATATATAAAGTATATTAAAATGTACATTGAATTATCGTTTAAATTATTGTTTGTCAAAATTTCAAAATAGCATTTTCGATTTCGCACATTTGTGTGTGTATGTGTGTTTAAGATACAGTTTATGTATTTACGTATTGTAATAAATAATATTATATATATATATATGTATTGTAATACGTATTATGTATATATGTATTTACGTGTGTTGTATCGCGTACTGTATCATTTAAGTAACGAAAGTACTTGAATGATATATTTGAGAAAATTTACCATGAATAAAATCGATAATTGCTTTGCCTTTCAATTGCACGTCGTAGTTGTTCTAATTGTGATACCACTTTTTCGATAACTAACGTTCGTAAACGAAAACCATTATGAAAAAATCGATATAACGCTGCTTTAAAACCTTCTTCATCTAACTTCCTACCCCAGTATTTATCTTTTTTCACATAATGATTGGTATTGGCTTGATAAACCTGTAACATATTTATAAATAAAATAAATTGATGGGTTGTTCGGAAAATAATTTCGTTTTTTTACCAACAGAGACATTAGTTGTATTTTTAACCAGCAAACTTCATTCTAAACTGTATTGTCATTATATATATTGACAGCTGACATTTCAAGGCTTATTTGTAAAAAATTTTGTTTGATTCTGTGCAATTGTATTTTTTTTTTTTTGTGTGTTCCATTAAATATGGAAAATCAAAAGCAGTATTTTCGGCATATTTTTGCTTTTTTATTACCGAAAAGGTAAGAATGCTGTTCAAGCAAGAAAAAAATTGTGTGACGTGTATGGAAATGTTGACAGAACTAAAACTGGTTCGCAAAATTTCGTTCCGGCAATTTTGATATTAAAGATGCACTACGTTCTGGAAGGCCAGTTGAAACTGACGAAGACAAAATAAAGATATTCAAGCAAACCGCTAAATAACAACACGAGAAATCACTAAGAGATTAAATTTGTTGAATTCGACCATTTATGATCACGTGAAACGACTTGATTTCGTTTCAAAGCTTGATATATGGGTTCTACATGTTCTTAAAAATAGAGATTTGCTGCATTGCATTGACATCTGTGATTTGCTTTTCAAACGTCACGAAAATGATCCATTTTTGAAGCGAATCATAACTGGCGACGTGAAATGGATTTTTTAGAACAATATCGAACGCAAACGATCATGGAGTAAAAGAGATGGGCCGACTCAAAGCACTTCGAAAGCCGATATTCATAAAAAAAAAGTGATGCTTACTGTTTGGTGGGATTTTAAGGGAACTGTTTTTTTTTTTTTTTTTTTTTTTTTTTGAGCTTTTATCAAACAATTTCACAATTGATTCGGAAGTGTCTGCCATCAACTGGACAAATTGAGTGATTCCATCAAACAGAAAAGACCAGAATTGATCAACAGAAAAGGGATAATATTTCACCATGATAATGCCAGACACAACTTTGGTAACGTTAGAAGCTATTACAGCTTGGATGGGATATACTACCACACGCACCATATTCGCCAGGTTTGGCAGCCTCGAATTATTACTTGTTCTGATTTTTACAAAATTTTTTAAATGGTAAAACATTTACTTTAGATGAGGATGTCAAAAATCACTTGGATCAGTAAGCAAAGATCAGAAGTTTTATGAGCGTGGAATCGTACTACTACTAGAAGATTGCAAAAAGTATTAAAATGGTCAATATATAATTCAATAAAATATTTATAAGAAAGAAAATTGTTTTTTTTTTCACGAAAAAAAAAAAAAACAAAATTACTTTCCGAACAACACATATTTTTATTACTAAGGTAAATTATATTATTGCATGACAATGACAAACCTGCATTCCACATAATCTAACACCCAATGAAGCTGATGTACTAGCAGCACACTTTGCAATTTGTTTGCTACGTTTTTCAGCAGACGCATCATCACCATGTTGTCTGGTCCCCATTTTCAAGTCCAATATACAAGGATGAATATATTGTGATGTTATATTTTCCAGTAAAAGAAAATCTATTTTAGTATAGAAAAATAAAAAGAAGAGAAATTTATTACTGACACATTGTATTTTATAATTCTTATTATTTTCTTTAAAATTTATAAAATTGCTTATGATAAAATTGCATACATTGCCTGTTTGATGCATTATCCAAATGTATATCTGGTTTTAATATTTCTCCTAACGTATTATCACGATGAATTTTCATTCTACAATAAAAAAATTATGAAATAAATAAAATTTATCTTTTGTTTTTTATTTTTTGTTTTTTTTTTTGTTTCAATAACTTAAAATATTTTATGCATTCACTATTTATTATTCACTAATATATAACATAATTTTAATACAATTTGTGCAAAATCATCTAAATACAAACCTTAACACATCTTCTCTTTTTCTCTTACTTGAATTGTGTCCCTGTCTATTATTATCTTGTTCTTTAAAATTGGGACTATAACGTTTGTCTAATGTAAACCCACCACTATTAGAAGCTTGCAAAACACCTGAAGCATTAAAAACATAATATTTAATGATTTAATTTAAATTACTTTTTATTACATTTTTATTTAAATTTGAATTATAGAAGTTTAATCTATATATAATATATATTTATATATACATTCAGGCTTTTTGGAAGTCATAGTAGAAATTAAGTCAGATTGATTCTATTTCACTTAAAATAAGATGAAAATCAAGAGTGAATCAAATTGCATTGGAGACCTCATTTTCGAGAAAAATGCATTTGAAAATCAATCAAGTCCATGTGCATTGTATATGATTGTCTCATAGATCTCACTACAAATTGCCACTCTCACTATTGTTATATTCGATAGATATCAAGGTTTATTTATTATTATTGCTTATCTGTCAACATGTTCTCAGAATAAATTAAACATAATAATTGATATAATATCAGTTATTACATCATGTCGATCACTTGATAAGAACTGATGGCTTAGTCAACATAATATAGTTACCAATGCAGACTGTATCCAGATAGTAAGCAAATCTTAACATTGTACAAAAATAGTCACGGTGGCAATTTGTGATAGGGTCTATAAGACTATTAGTCCAATACACTCGACTGATTTTCAAATGCACTTTTTTTGAAAATGAAGCTTCTGTAAAACAATTTTACATTCATGGTTTTCATCTTATTTTGAGCCACCAGAATCATCTTAACCCAATTTGTACCATCTTCTGAAATACTCCGTATATAATATATAATATTTATATATTATATATTATATATATATATATTTATATACATATATACATTATATAATGTAATAAATTATGTTTTAATTAAATATAATATAGAACTATAAAAATGTTAAAAAAATGACGCCATCTTACCTTTAAATTTTGGAACAAAAATTTGAATGTCTTGTGGAATGTTTTGATAAAAGTCAAGTTCTCTGCAGTTTAATGGTTTACAAATAGTATTCTGGTTGAGTAATAATAGTCGGGTATGTCCACCAACCTATATAATATATAAGATTATTGTTTTATTACGGAATTAAAAATTGTGAAAATATATATTTAATTCCTAAATGTATGAAATTAAATGTATCATGTTTTTATTTGAGAAATTTTAACTTTTCAGTAAAATTTAATATGTTAATGTCTAAAAGATACATATGTATTAAAATTAGTAAATCATTAAATAATAACAAAGCTCATACAGAGTACAATAATAAAGTGCTGTGATAGTATGCATCATAGTATGGGTAGATTCCCCATCTCCGACACACCATGAGTCAGAGAGTGTGCACCAACAACGAGGCCTACACACAGATACTACAATCAACCCACCATAAACCCATCAAATGTTCCAACTACACAAACAAAATCCTATGCTACTGTTACAATGATTAATTCTTTTCCAACGAGCAAGCAATCCTAATCGACGCTATTGACAACACAACAATGAAAGACTACATACTGGCGGTCGTAAAAGTCACTGGCCCCAAAGCTATCCGTTTCGCTTCCTGAATCTCCAATGGTCGTATCTGCATCTATCTTGACAGAAAGACTACAGCACAAGACTTCGTAACTAACCACAGAACAATAACCATGAATAACGTACATACTATAGTTAGACTGCTAATCAATCCATCCTAGAGATTAATACTGTCGAATGTCTCACCGTCTATACCACATGACCATATACCACTGACCATGCTAGTGAGGAGTAGCCATCTACATCAAGGACACCAACCACAGCCAAGAGATTGCGATCACATCCAACCTTGAAGTTGTGGCTACAAGAGTTATGCTATCTACAAATCTACATATGTAATATCTACCTGCCTAACAGCCAACATCTTGAAGTTGAACTTATCCGAATTTTTAGCCAATTACCAAAACCATTCATCATCACGGGAAACTTCAATGACCATAATATTTTATGGGGATCCCACAAAACAGACACAAGAGGAGCTACCATAGCGAAACTAATAAATGAAACAAATCTAAACCTTCTAAACACCAACAAACCAACTCACTTCACGACCGCATCCCCGCCCGCCTTAGTACAATTGATCTAACTCTCTGCAACCCGAGAATCGCTCAAAACATCTCTTGGAATGTGGAAAGTAATCTATTCGATAGTGACCACTTCCCGATCAAGATCACATACCATACTAGCTACTGCCATAACACCTACAAACCCTCTAATTGAAAATTTGAAAAATCCGATTGGACAACTTACCGCGAGTCTGTAGCATTTTCCATCTCCCATTATACTGAATCCAACCGGCCTCAATAAACACCGCCTTCGTCAATTTCGTACGCATCATTACAGAAGCCATTCCCAAAACCAAAACTATCTCAAGCAATTCAAAATCCAAACTCACTCTATGGTGGAATGTTCTGCAGCAATCAAAAACTATGAGCACGCCTACAATCGATACAAAAAACATAACTCTGAAGAAAACCTCATTCATTTCAAAAAGTACAGAGCATTATCCGGGAAAATCATCAAAGACAGCAAGAAACAGTCATGGTTAAGGTATGTTTCATCCCTTAACCAATCCACTCCAACCGCAGAAGTATGGAAAAAGAACAGATCAATCAAAGGAAACAAAACATACCACACAATTTCTGCCCTAAAAGAAGAAAACAGTGCCCCCACCACAGATCCAGCGAAGATTTCAGAAATACTAGCATCCACATTTCAGCGAACCTCTAGCAACAACAACCATTCAAAAGAATTCCAGAAATACAACAAGTAGAAACCAAGGCCAAACCGCCATTATTGCCAAATACTGATAATGACCCACAGTCAATAGCGTCTCTTAACGAATCTTCGCCCAAGAACTAATGTATGCCTTAAATAGATGTGGTAATACCAGCCCTGGACCTTCTCCTTATCAAACTGCCACAAAACGCTATAAATTACCTACTCTCAATATTTAACTGCATATGGAATCACAATGTCTTTCCAGAAATATGGAACAAAGCAATAATAATTTCTATTCTAAAACCAGATAAAAATCCCACTGATCCCAATAGTTACCGACCAATTTCATTAACGAACACAATATGTAAGTTAATGGAAAAGATAGTAAACCATCGCCTACGGTGGCACCTCAAGAAGCATCACTTGATCACCAAATTCCAAAGCGGCTTTCGGCAATTCTATTCCACCTACGATCACTTAATCAACCTAGAAACCAAGATACAGGAAGCCTTTGCCAACCAACTAATCGCTGTATGTCTTGACATAGAAAAAGCACCGAATTCTAAAAATCCTACAAATGCACGGAATCAAAAACATCTTCAACTTCATCAAAAACTTCCTCCATCAAGGACCATCTAAGTTAAAATTGCAAACCATCACTCTTCCTCCATCAAGGACCATCCAAGTTAGAATTGCAAACCATCTCCCTTCATCAAGAATCACAGAAAACGGCATACCACAAGGATCAGTCCTAAGCGTTAGCCTATTTCTCATAGCCATAAATGATGTGCTGACAAACTTAACCCGGTCAAAAGATTCTTATTCGCTGATGATCTCACTATAATATGCAGAGGAAAAAACCGCCCAACTTTACTACAGAACAGTCTAAACAACCTCCAAAGGTGGTCACTAAATACTGGATTCAAGTTCTCGAGCTCTAAATCGGTAGTGATAACATTCAGTAAACGTAGATACCACACCAAATTCATCTAAGCCTCAACGGACAAAAACTAAAAAAGACAATCAAGCTACTAGGCCTAACTTTCGATTCCCGACTAACGTGGAAACCGGACATAAACAAACTTAGATCGGAATGCTACCAACATCTCAACATCCTAAAAACAATTGCAGCAAACAACTGGGGTACAAATATGAACATCCTGTTATTAACATACAGAACAATAGTAAGAACTAAGATAGACTATGGATCTATCGTGTACAACTTTGCAAGCCCTCAAAAAATTCGACCCTATACACCACCATGCAATTAGGATAGTGCGATAGTGGGAGCATTCCGAACCAGACCAATTATTGACATCCTGAGCGAAGCAACGAAAGTTCCTCTAAAAATCAGAAAAATGCATCTAAGCATCAAGTTCGCTGCTAAAATTTCTAGCACCCCTCAGAACGCAGCTACCACCACACACTCGATGAAGAAAACCGCATTCCCATTCTATAATAGAATTTGAACACGATCTCAACACAAAAGTCATCTTGGCAACCCCAAGAAATATACCCAGTTTTCCGCCGTGGACTGTCCCTATAATCACAACCGACATCGATTTATGCAAACATGACAAAAAACAAACTAACCTTAACACATTTAAATCCCTGTTCTGGGAGCCATCCCAGAGATACCAAGACCATACACATATCTATACAGATGGCCCAAAACAGCACTGGCTACTCGATCTTTGAACAATCAACCACCAAGACACGTTCATCCTGACCGCCAAACTTAACGCACTAAAACATGCCCTCGAAACCACATCTAAATACCACAATAGAAAATTTGCCATCTTCAGTGACTCCACAAATGCTACCGCCTCAATTCTAAACCAATGGACAAACAATACAACCATCCACGAATGCCAAAACGCCTACATCGAATCAATAAAAAACAATAACTCAATTACAGTAATATGGTGGGTCTCATCCCACACAGGAATTGAAATGAACGAGAGAGCAGACAAAGTTGCTAAGGAAGCAGCAAATACAACAATCCCCTACCACAACACAAATCTACCACTCGATTCTCTACTTGTCCACCTAAAGAAAAAAATCAAACACCATTGGAACAACGAATGAAAAAATTTAGTGAAACAACTGCTAACCATCAAAAATGACTTCTACAAGAACGTAATACCACCCACTCTAAAAAGACGTGACCAAGTCATAATATCAAGAATAATAATCGGACATACGAAAATAACACACGAATACGTACTCACCAAAGAAGACCAACCATCTGTGGTGCAAGACGACCTTAACAATAGACCACCTCATACTACAATGCGATGTATACCTACTGCTAAGAAAACAACTCAGAGTCAAACCATCCTAAAAGACAACCTAATGGACAGTGGAACATCATCAAGCCTGCTACAATATCTGAAACACACCAAGATCTACAACAACATATAAAAAATCCTTCCTTCTGATGTCGCTAATAACCTATGAAGTTGATGCAACATAAAATAATTGATTTAAAAAAAATAATAATAAAGCTGCTATTACTGTTTCCTGCACAAATAAACTTGAAATATAAATAAAAGATAAAATAAAGATGTATATATAGGAAAATAGATAAAATAAAAACATGTGTCGATTATTGCAAATTCAGTTTATAGACATATTGCATGTATGTATATACTAACTGGGTAGCTCAATAGTAATAAAAATAGAATAAAAACAACAATATTTCATACTGAAAAAAACAAATGACAAAAAAAATAATTCAAACAAGATAGTACAATGAAACGGAACAAATCATCATCTCACCTGATTTTTAAGTGGTAATAACGCAACCTCTTCATCATTCTCCTGCAGGAAGGAGGAACTGTTTGTATTATGACACTGCGATTTTGTTTCTCCCATAACCCAGGTACCCGAAAAGTATACCATAATCGTTAACTATAGTCCAACAAATAAAACTAAAACACTAAACAGATTATTCACACGGTGTTTAATTCTATGTACTTCGTTCTTGTTGATACGTTTCCCATCCATTCGATATTACTGAATAACTTGCTCAATGCATTTTTCTTAAATACGTCATCACGTTAAAACAATGGTAAGACATTATTATCGGGGAATATAAAATGAACTTTTCAAATACACGTAATGTTCTTTCGCAGTGGAAATAAACAGGAAAAAAGAGATATCACTATAAACAACACTACGAGATCAGCTGTGCAACAACTAGGATGTAAATTTTATTTCCCGAGAGTATACAGAAATAAGGAACTCTATAAAAAATACTCCATCTAGTGGAGAAAAATCAAACAGATATAAAAAAAATTCATTTAGGTTCATTTATTAGGTTCAATCATAATGTAAGTTCACTTCATTTCATGATAGAGTATTTAGGCCACATAAGCGAATATTTGTTCGCCCCCACCTTAATGAATTCGTGCTTATTTATTACACGAACACTCGTTTAATGAACACAATGATATGAATACAAGCACGAATTTGATCAAAGTGCAGGGCGAATGATTATTCACTTGTTTGGTCTAAACGCACTATAAAAACTATACCATTGATTAACTACAGAATAGACCTGACATAAAATTTTCGTATCTCACGTTTCAGCTCACTTGAGCTTCCGCTTACCACTTTCATTTCATATGCAACGTTATCGATTTAGTATATTAATGCCATAAATTTTGAAGCTTGTGGATATTGAATAAACCATAAGATAGATATGGGCTTTATTACAGATGAAGTGTGACTTCACTTTAGACAACCAAAAATTATTAATTTTTTTTTTAATAATTTAGATCTTGATGAGCTAAGACCGAAGATAAAAATTTTGTTTTCAAGTCGTCAATTTATTGGTTCAAAAATTATGTATAAAAGTTAGTTTTTATTTCTTATTATTTTAGTGCCATTTCCTGTATTACTGACAATGTGTTGTTTTTCATATAACATTTTATTTTATAGTTTGAATTAAACACATTTAGCGCCTGCTCTAAGATTTCTCGTAAATATTGTTTGCCTAAAAGGACCAATCAAATTATGGACAGAAGTAATATGACATCGTACTAACCTGTAATAAAATGTAAGAAATGTTTTAAAAAATATTTAACTTTACAACTAACTTTTAAATCCGTAAATTCCTAAAGTTAAAACTTAAATGTTTGACTTATCGAAAATCTATCGAAAACTTATCGAAATCTACCAAATTATTAAAAAAAAAGTAAATTTTTAAGTAAAATTTTTTGGTTCCCTAATCTAGATATAAAATTAAATAAGACTATATGCATAGTCGCAGATGAGATATATAAATAGACATTGCATTTTATGTGACTTCATGTCACATATTTTGAAATACCGACAAGAAATCACTAATTTTCTAGCGTACTCTCAATAACGGTGAATTGAAAAACTATATCGAGTAAAACAATTGAAATTGATCAAGTAATGAATATGCCAGAGACCTGATTTTTAAATTGTATTACAGTGTTGTCAATTTTCTATACCGAAACGTGAAACTAATAACCTAGTAACTAACCGAAATCATTTTACTGTATATGTATTCATATTTTACTTCATATGGAAAGAGATCTAACCATGTTTTATAGATTTTTTTTAATATATAATAAATAAAAATTTTTTAATTATTAATATATGGTTTTAGACATAAATGATTTATATTTTATTAAATATTCTTAAAAACAATTTTTAACTAACTAAATTTTCAACTATTTTAAATTATTATTAATATTAAAATATTAAAATTATATTTATATTATATATTCAAATGTATGTTAAATTTTTAACAATTTTATTATAATTAGTGCATTGGTTATGACAAACAACATAAATTCTATAATTGATTAGTTAAAAATTACTTGTTAATTAAAATATTATTCGAAATTTTTCTATAAACTCTTTTGCCTATCAATATTATGATAATAACAAAATTTTGTTATTTATTTAATATAAATCTTTAATATTTCATAAAGATTTAATGAAAAATACAAATATATATAGCATACATCTTTATATGTCTCTTAAAATCGACTAAAGAAATATTTTTAGAAATTTGGTTACAAAGGAACACATGTGGTGCAAATTTTTACAAGTCGAATGATAGGGAAATTTTAAGATTAAATGAAATGGAATTTTATATCTTTCTTCATAATATTTATTGAGATGATCTCGATTCACGTATGATATCATTTATTGTTGAAAAATATATAAAGTTTTGTCATAAATTAATGCGCATATATTTTGTCTGTGTTTAAATGTAGAGTGCGCTAAAAAACCAGTGATTTCTTACTATGTTGGTATTTCAAGTCACGGGCCATGAAAACTTGTAAGGTGCTTGGTCTATTTATATACCTTACCTGTGCTCATATCAAGAAGTTTTAAGTTCTTTTTGATCAAACCACGATGGGTAAGTTGTTTGTTTTAAGCTAAATTTCATTGTTATTGCTTTAAATCAATATTTTTGTCATTAAATTTATATAATTATCAGTCATTTGTAAAATTTCATTCGCCAATTTTTTTTATTCAAATATATATTACTTTTTATTACTTATTATTTATTTTTTTACTTATATTACTTTTATTACTAAGTATAACCTGAGTATAACCACTTAAAAATCTATAATATTTCGTCAATTCTAACATTTTTAGTGTTTTAATGAACTTTTCTTTATAACCTACATATTTTATTTTCGCGTAATTATATATTTATTACAATTTTTTTTCACTGATTCTAAATTTATTATTTTAAATATAAATTTAATAATTAATGTTTTTCATTGTTAAAGTTGATAGTATGAAATGATATAAGTTGAAGTGAAAGTTTTCTTTATTTATTTTATCATACATAAAAATATTTCTGTTAGGTATCTCTCGTGATCATTGGCATAAGAGACGAGCAACTGGCGGTAAAAGAAAACCAATTCGTAAAAAGAGGAAATTTGAATTAGGGCGTCCAGCTGCAAACACAAAACTTGGAACTCAACGTATTCATACGGTATTATTATATAATTTTTATTGCAAGCAAATGATTTGTTAATCTGCCAGAAACATAATAAAAAGTATAATAAGTTTACTAATTTTATTATAAAAAATATAAAATTGTTTTTGTATAAAAGTATATAATTTTTTTTCTGTGATAATAATTTGGCAATATTTAAACATGACATAACTATTACTTTTATCTACTTTGAATATTGTCTTGATTTAGATTCTATAGTGTATTGAATGAAATTATATTATTTAATTATTACTAAATATTTATAATCATCCATCTTCATATATAAAATAAAAAGGTACGTACAAGAGGTGGTAACAAGAAGTACAGAGCTCTTCGCTTGGATACAGGAAATTTTTCATGGGGTTCAGAATGTACTACAAGGAAGACACGAATTATTGATGTAGTTTATAATGCATCAAACAATGAATTAGTGAGAACCAAAACTCTTGTAAAAAATGCAATTGTTACCGTTGATGCAACACCTTTCAGACAGTGGTATGAAGGCCATTATGTTTTACCATTGGGTCGTAAACGAGGTGCTAAATTGGTAAGTGAATAGACATTTCATTTCTTTATATCATTAAATAATATATAATTAAATAAACTAATAAATTGATAAATACTGAAATAGTAAAATAAATTGATAAATTTTAAAATAGACTGAAGCTGAAGAAGAAGTTTTACATAAAAAACGATCAAAAAAAGCAGAATCTAAATATAAAGCAAGACAGAGATTTGCCAAAGTTGAACCAGCTTTGGAAGAGCAGTTTGCTACAGGACGAGTTCTTGGTAAGCAAAATAATTCTTTATTATATAAATTAATTTTCTAACGTATGTATATATGCACATATTACAATTTTAGATTGAAATTTATTTTAAGATATATTAAATTTAGGTATGATCTCTTTTATTAAAACAAATGAGAAATTTCATTATACGTATATAAAGTTTGTGCATATATATTATATATAGATATAGAATATATTTTAACGTCATATTGTTTTTGATGGCGATCAAAATTTTTTGGCAATATTTTTTTCTTATAATATTGCTTTATTTAAACTAATATTAATTCTTTCTGTTAATTGAGCTTTTAACAATATACATGTATGATAAAATAAATAGACTTTATATGTAATATTCTTAATTTTATTGCTACTAATATTCTGAATATGGTGTATCAACTCTTTTATATAGGATATCCCTATTGTTCTCCACAACGATACCAATATTTTCTATGAACAAAAGTAAAACAAAAATATCAAATATCAAAGACTCAAAAATGTTTTATTAAAAATTTATAATAAAAATTAAAATAATGAACTGGCTTTTGTTTGATACAGCATAAAAATAGATTGGTGATATTATCGGTTCTTTTTTATTACTCCTGTATCGTATCTGAAAATAATTCAATAGATATTTAATATTAATTTTTCTGAACTTCGTATATAAAAGATTAAAAAATGTAATACAGTATTCTTGTTTTTGTTTTTTTTTTATCTTTCATATGATAAATCGTACGAAATTAGAATGACCTAACCATGCTTTCGATAGAAGTACCTTCATATTTTTTTAAAAAGTAATAAAATATATCAATTATATTAAATATATATAATTTAGTAGTTAAAAAACCAAATCATGCACTATACGAAATTAGTTAATTGTATTTTATAAAATATATTTTAGAATTATTGGCTAAATTATGTAATGCAATATGGATAACTTTGTGCATTATGAATTGTGCTTTTTATTTAATAACCAATAGTTATAGTATGTTTAAATATTAAAATAAAAAGTATGTCATCAAATTGATATTTTGATTTCAGCTTGTATATCAAGTAGACCTGGACAATGCGGACGAGCAGACGGTTATATGTTAGAAGGAAAAGAACTTGAATTTTATATGAGAAAAATTAAAAGCAAGAAAGCTAAATAAATATTTCAATAAATAATAATCTAGATTCTTATGTATATCTGTGTTCCCCAAAATTTTCAATGCTTGCAATATACATATGTATACTTTAGTATAGGATATACACGTATTTTATTGCTTTACTATCAATTTTACGATTGTGTACTATTTCAATATAAGCTAATGCCAAAGAGAATATTTTGATAATCGACGATCATCTACACATTTAAAATCATTAATGATGTCTCAACTGATTTGTTATATTGTATTTAAGTAATTGTTGTGCACATATTTGTGATGTAATATTGCATAAATAATGTAATGTAACAATATTATAAATGTACTATACAAGAAAATTGCTAATTGATTATCAATATAATGTCTTTAACTACGAATGTTTTTGTTTATATTTGAAACACAATCTCCTTGGCATTAACGTTATATATTTTTGAATTTTACTGAATTTTTCAGAGTTAAATAAATTTTTACTGAGATATAAAGATATAGATGAATCTCATCTAAGCCATAACTTCAGCCAAAAAGCATCTATACCGTTCTATAATAATACCGAAATAATTGTTTATCACTCAAGAGTCTTAGTAATTCTTGTTTTTAAAATTCGCAACATTATTTTTCACGATAGCTGAATTGCTCTCCTTACTAGATTTGAATCAATTTTGCTTTTAGTATTTTACATCAATAACTATTACAATATACGCTTTTGTGGATGTTCAGCTCAGACACACTGGTACTGACATATTTATCTTGCGTTATCTTGACGAACAGAAAGCAAGAGTTTTCTAAGATATGTAAATTGTACATATCTATAAGACAAAGGAATCCAATTAAAGTTGACTATTTATACTTTCTAACACAGTCTTTATTTAGTATTTAATTTCTTAGAAATCAGACAAAAAGACAGATTGAATAGTTTCAAAAGGGGCATTAATTGATGTAATTTTTTAACGTTGATGCATAGAAGTTTGTTTTTTTTTAAGTGAAATCGTATATTTTTATCATCATTCTCTACAAAAATAATATTAAACTATCAGTTCAGGAGATATTTTAATTAAAATATTACAGTGTGATACTTTGTTCAAAGTCGAATTTTTTTTATCAATTTCATGCTCTTTAGATGTCAGATGGCGTTTTGTTTCTCAAATTATCATGATTACTAGATTTGAATCCATTAGATTGTTTTTTGTGACTAACTCTAAAAAAAAATAGTCTACATTAATGTACCAATAACTACTGAAGACCTGTTAACGAATTGAAGAATATAGAAATATCATTGCATTAGTAATGTTAAGTAATGTGAAACATACTCTAAGAATTAGATTACAATGTATTAAAAAATATACATTTAAAAAAAAATAAACTTGATCTTCAAACGCTTTTTATGCATCAATATTAAAAAATAATAATTATATCAGTTAATGCTTCTTTCGAAACTATTTAAATTTTGTTTAAAACATTTTTTTATATAATTAATCGTTTGGATATAAAGTAGTTTTGAAAATACTTAAGCTTCTAGTTTTAGGTGATATGAAATATCACAGGATGGACCAGCTAAATCGCTATTTTTGTTGTACAGGATCACCTAAATCGCTATTTTTTGTTGTACAAATGATAATCTTCGCTATTTTTTGTTGCATAAAAAAACTTCAAGATATAGCACTATGTTAAAGACAAATGTAATGCTGGAAATATCTTTTTTCAATAATTTTTTATTTACGAAATCTCAAGGTCATCGTTATTTTTTGCAATTATATTTATTTTTGAAATTCTTGTAAAGTGTGAAAAAGCAAAATTCAATGATCAATGATCATATTATTTTAATCATTTATTTTTGAGATTACGTCTCATATGAACAATTGTATTATGCTTGGATATTTCGCTAGGTATTTGCTAAGTATTCGCTTTAATCATTTTATTGAGTTCTATTCTGATAAAACAGCAACAAAAATGTGGCAGTCGTAATGTTAACTTTTAATTTTAGACAATATGCTTTCAGAAAATTCTAAATTTATCTGTGTTCCTTTAATTCGCCTTTATTTAAATTTCATACATATGATGATAACAAAAGCAATCAAGTAAACTTATACATTGGTTATTTTCTTACTGATTTCGATCATTTTTGAATATTACATCGATATTTTCTTTCAAATCGATATTTTCGAACAATTCTTTTCTACAACAGGAATATCGGATTTTATTCAGGATGACGATTTCTGTAATATATTTCAGGATTGTCGAAGTCAGTGAGCATGTGATTAATCTATAAATTTATCGGCAATCAAAAAGAGGCAAGTGGAGGAAAAAAGAAATAAGAAATATCTTGAAATCATATAAAATCTTAATGCTAAAATACAGGGTATTCATAAAGTCTCTTTATAATTTCAAAAATTTATTACAAAGGCAATTGATGAGATATTTTCGTCAAATTTGTTCTATGTACTGAATAGTTATCGAGGTTTTTATCACATTGCTTCCGATACTCTGTTGATGAATAAGATACTATTAAATGAACCTCTTACAAAATGGCTACTCCTCAAGAGAAGGCACAGTGTGTATCATGGTTTATTGAAACCAAATCGGATCTGCAGACTCAGCAAAACTTCAAAACTAAGTATGGAAAAGATCCACCATCACGTTCATCAATTCGTGCATGGCATAAGAAATTTATGGAAACAGGGACAGTGTTCGATAAAGGGAGAAGTGTACGACCAAAAATATCTGAAGAAAACATCGATCGAGTAAAAAAAACTTTCGATCGTTCTCCCAGACAGTCTATCCGTACTGCTGCCAAACAGAGCTACCACGTTCAACAGTGCGAAAGTCATAAATGAAGCAAAAAAACTTAAATATATACGTCTCATTTTGTAATAATTTCCACTTATCTGTCTTTTCATTTCCTTTTGTAATAAATTTTTGAAATTGTAAAGAGACTTTATGAACACCCTGTTTATTATTAAGTCATTCATATTTTATATCATTTTCTTGTATAACGAATGCCAGATTATTTTGATCCCACTTACCTATTCCTTTTACATAGAAAACGTAAGAAAGATAAATAAGAATTTATTAACTGTAATCTACCAGTGATATCTGACTTCATAATAATTTATTAATAGGTAACATAATTTCTAACAATTTATAACAACAAATGACCAAATTTATTTTAGCAAGTAATATACTATGAAAAAGAAAACGTGTATGATATTTTTCATTTAAGAAATTGAATTTAACTTCGAAATTTTGAAATGGATGGTTTGCAAAAAATAATTTACATCACACAATATGTTCTTTTATATTAAACAATATTTGTAGAAACATTCTTTTTATACGTCCAATCTTTTACAAAATCGAATATATAAGATAAGGTGAATCATTCAGGCTGTGAAGTAAGTAAAAAACATAAGTATATTTCACTATAAATAAATATAAAACGTCATATCTAATTAATATTAATTGTCATATTTCAATCAACTTTTTTTAATACTTCTAAATAGATGTAAATAATCAGATATTAAATTTTTCTTAATTTACATCAATCGTTGTTCTAAATTCTTTTTTTTTTTTTGATGAAGTATCACCACGTTCAATTCAATAAATAATTTTCGGGGCAGATATGGCAATACTGTCTATATTTTTTGATTGTAATCCCCATCATTAGTAGTGCTGCGATGCAAAACTTGCCTAAATTGATATGACGAAAACTGTGATACGAAAATAGTAGTGGTATTCTAAAACTGCACGAATGTGAAATAAAAAAATATATCGTACGTAGCTTTAGTCATATATTTTGTTTATACTAAATATAATTCAAATATATCTATTGTAATAAATCACAAAAGCATAAGACCAATTTTTCCAAGTTAGTACTCAGATCCTGATATGAAGATCAATTTAATATCATATCTATGTTGTACTTAGTTAATGACTGTATCTCATACATAGCCTCTCATAGAAGTAGATAAAAATATGAATAAAAAAACGTTCTTGCAAATTTGATTTTCGTGAAATACGGATCGAAGATTCTATGAAATTTCGAAATTCTAAAATACTTATCTCCAAAAATCTAAAATAATTATCTTCTTTTTTGTAAGAAATATCTAATTTATCAAGAATTAATTATTTTGATAAATCTTTTAGAAAATTAAATTACTGATCTATGAAATCTTATTATTTAAAATGAATATAAAGTTTAAATACAAAATCAATTAGATTGTTACTAATTAAGTAAAAATAAATTTGTATTATTAAAATATTCTTGTAAGTTATTAATGTGAATTATTGTTTACCTACGTTTTAAGAAGTTTGAAAAATAGCAGACTTGATTTTTTAAGATTTTGAAATATTTCAGATAGTCCCATTGCTGTGGTAAATTCAAAATAAATATTTTATATAGTTTTGATTTTAAATGTGCAGTAGTCTAATAAATTTATAAAAAATGTACAAAAGATTGAAAGAGGTTAGCAAACTTCAAAGAATTAATCCCAAATATATATCTATGAGAGAATATACTCAAAAGGTTAATTTTAATTGTATGAAAAATTTGATAATATATATTTCCTATACATCACAAAATTAATTATAGATTTCTGAAAATAATTATCCAAAAAGAATATTTTCTGGAATTCAACCAACTGGAAATTTGCATTTAGGAAATTATCTTGGAGCTGTACAAAAATGGATACAATTACAAGATAATGGAGAAAATGTTATTTGGAGCATTGTTGATATGCATTCCATTACTTTACCACATGTAAAAATTCATTGACTTTACATTTTATATTTTATAGAGATATATTATCTATTCTACTTATTAGATATTAGATATATTTTTTATTATATTTGTTCATAAAAAAATAAATTATAAGAATATACTATACTTTATGTATGTGTCTAAAATTTTTTCATTGAAAAGAAAAATTAAGAAACATAGATGTATTTAATTTTTAAAAAATAAATATAGGATCCAAAAGAGTTAAGCAATAATATACTTAAAATGACAGCAACATTATTAGCATGTGGTATTGATCCAAAGAAGAGCATATTATTTCAACAATCTACTGTAGATACACATGCACAATTATGTTGGATTTTGGGATGCTTAACATCTTTTACCAGGCTTGCTCGTCTTCCTCAATTCAAAGAAAAAAGTGAGACATTAAAAAGTATTCCTTTGAGTTTATATATTTATCCTGTTTTACAAGCTGCTGACATATTGTTATACAAGTATGTATTTTATGTGTATTATCAATATCTCAGGATCTTTGAAATTATAATTGAGATACAATGTATATTACAGAGCAACGGATGTACCTGTTGGGCAAGATCAAGTTCAACATATTCAATTAGCTCAAGAATTAGCCATTAAATTCAATAAAAAATTTGGAAATACTTTTCCTGTACCTCATTCTTTAATTAATGGTAAAAATTTTATTTCTATCTTATTTAAAGATAAATATATAAACGAAATATTTTATAATATATTTATAATTAATAGAGCATATGTGTTGTAGAAGATGCAAGTCAACGTATAAAATCACTTCGTGATCCTTCAAAAAAAATGTCAAAGTCTGATCAAACTTCGAAGAGCAGATTAGATATATTAGATAAACCAGAAATATTAATAGAGAAACTAAAAAAGGCTGTTACGGACTTTACATCGAAAGTAACTTATGAGCCAGAAAAACGACCTGGTGTTTCAAATTTGGTTACTATCCATTCAATGCTTACTGGAAAATCGCCAGATCAAATATGTTCTGAAGTGGAAGGATTAGATACTGGGAAGTATGTATATTAAAGATTTAATTTTTCTTTAGTTACTAATGTATTTAAATTGTTGTTTATTTATTTATGTATTACAGATATAAATTAGTACTAGCGGATGTAATTGTTGAAAAATTGAATCCAATTCGTGAAGAGTTTTCAAGATTAATTAGGGAACCAGCTTATTTGCAAGAAGTTTTGAGAAATGGTACAGAAAGAGCAACAGAAATAGCTAGTGATTCTTGGTGTGAAGTTAGAAATAAAATTGGTTTTGAAAATGATATTTTTCATGTAAATAAATCAATACGAAATATAATATAAAGTGGACATTTATTTAAAAATAAAATGTATACTTATTTAATTATTACTATTATTAATCATTTTGTGTATATAAATAATATTATCTCATATCAATTACTAATTTACCTCGTAGATGGCCTTGAGTCACTCTATCATAAGCTAATGGTAAATCTTGAAATTGATATACTTTTTTAACTACTGGAACCACCTGAGCAAAGTAGAAAGTTATTGGCATAGTATTATTATGATAAATTAAAATTAACAGTTATCATGATTTTTCAAGGTAGAAAGTTATTGGTATAGTATTATTATAATAAATTAACAGTTACCACGATTTTTCAGATATTTTATATAATTTGAAAATGACCAGAAATTTTTTATTTAAAAAAAAAATTACCATAATTTTATTAAATAACACTACATGATTTTTTTAATACATGACTGTTGATGATATCTTAAGAAATTTAGCTTTATATGTAATAAATTTCCTTGTTGACATACGAATTAAATATGAAAGTATCTAATAATTTTTCTAACTAAATTTAGAACATTATTTATCAAATTAGGAGGAAGATTTGAAAAACCATGATGACTGTTACAATATCATACTTATTGTACCTTTCCATTTTCAACAAATTCTTTAAGCGTCTTAATCCCTGTTTCAGACGGTGTAAAAAATCCCCATTTCACTGTATTTTTATTTTCAATAATTGGGATGTTATATTTTAATAACTCTCCTATGTTTTTTACTGTACCCACAATCAATCCATGTTGATCAGTATTTTTTAGTAATGGAGAATTTAAAGTTATATAAGTATTATGGGGATAATTCTTTAATCGTATTTGATCTGGTCCTTGATTAGCGCAATCCAAAATTATATTATACCTAAATTAAAAATTAATAAAATTTATGTAAATAAATTTAATGAATGAATTACATACGGCCCCTCTGCAATAATTTTTGAATCTGCATCATTTAATTTATAATCAATTACAACATCAGCTCCAAGCTTTTGTACCAAATTTACAGCATCACTATTGCATGTGGTAATGACCTAAATCATTTTGATTTATATTTTACAATATATAGAAATATAAGTTTTATTGGTATCATGAATGGCAATATCAATTGGTATTACATGCATGTTCCAAGCCTTTAAAAGTTGGATTGCAATAGTTCCTACACCTCCAGAACCACCTAATACTAAAACTTTATTATTTGTTCTTGAAGTCATTGTATTTTTAGAACACAATGCACCAGTAATCCATAATGCAGACCATGCTGTAAGACCAGCATACAATATACTGGCTGCCTCAATGTATGATAAATTTCTAGGTTGTAGACTGACCTGCAAATAAAAATTTGTAATTCATTCAATCTTTCCTAAACGAAGATTGTATTTATTCAATTAATAATTTTATTTACCAATGTATTATCAACAACTACATAACCAGCATGACAACCTTGTTGCTCTACAGGAACTACACCCCATACTTCATCACCTAATTGTAATCTAGTTCCAACACCATGTCCTTTTGAAACTACTATGCCAGAAAAATCTCTACCTAAAGTTAATGGCAATTCCAATTCACCATACTGTCCACTGGTAAGATTTTTTGCTTTTCTCATTAAATTTAAAATTGCTGCACCATATCCTCCTAATGCAAAACATTTAATTATGATGTTAAATGTTTATTGTTCAAGCTGTAAGAAATAGATAATTAATATAACATGATTCGTACTTATCATGGCTACATCTATGGGGTTTATGCTAGATGCTTCAACTTTGACAAGAACATCCGTTGGTTTGGCAATTACTGGAATTCTAACATTTGAAAGTTTTAATTCTTCCAAACCACCATATGAGTGAATTTGCCAAGCTTGCATTTTGTCTTCAATATTTTCTTTATATTTGGCTAATGCATTACTAAGAAAACGCGATTGTATATTTACAATATTTGATTTAAAATTTAACGTTATTTTTTTTAACATTGTTCCAAATTAATTTTAATTAATATTTAATACCAAACAATGTAAGTTTAAAAAATAGGTTAAGGGCAAAATTCTGCTAACTTGATTTGTAGCAATATTAAAAAACTTTTTCTTAAATTTAGTAATTTAAATTTATATATGACATTGAAAAAATTGATATTTTAGTAAATTTGACTGAAGTATTTGTTATGATAAGATTGTATTACATTAATTTCTCGCTGTAGATAACCAATATGAATTGAAAGTTAATATCGTATATCGTTTTTTCTTTTTATATCGTGATATATGTATGTATTTGAATATACATATATATGTATAAAATATATCATATATATATATAATTATGTATGTATGTTAATAATGTCTTATTTAAATATTTCTATTATTGTTATCCATTAAATTGAAATATACCGCGCTTAGAAATTCTGTTGTAGTTTCCTGCTGACAAAAGACTGTTTTGAACGTTGTTAGTTATCGAAAGTAATAAATTCAAATAATACATATGTGCACGAATATTTTTTTCCTTTTTCTTAATTATGCTATTTCATTTGTTTACGTATTCAAAATTACGTATTTATTAACAATTTTATTATGAATTTAATATAAATATTACGTATTTATTAACAATTTTATTATGTATTTAATATATAATCTATTATATTGGAAAATAAAATTTTATAGAGAAGAAGTAAATGAAAGATAATGATACGTAACTAACTGACTATGTATGTATAGTGCAACATTATTTTTCGGTTTAACTTTAAATATTAAATATAAATATAATAATAAGGATTAAAAGAGTATCTTGTTCATGTTATTATTATTATTAAATATAATATAGTACAGTATAATAATATGTATATTACAATAACATTATATTTAAAGATGCCGTATCATTCATAATTAAAAGATTTTATACACATAATTAAGTTGTATGCACACGTTGGCACACGTATGTGAGTAAGAAAAAAATTTACATATTATAGTATGTATGCTAAACTCTCTAATATTTGTAATTATTTAAACATTTCAATTAATCGGAAAAAAGTCAACGATATTCAAGTATGTACAAAATAAAAATATTATGTTACATATGCATAGATAATCGAAGATGCGGTTTCGTTAATCTTTGGTGGTATTGTTAGTAATGAATCATATGGTATGAGAGAGTGAAACGAGGGTGGTCCTTTCGTTTTATGAGTAAATTTGACAATGCGCATGCCTGTTATCGATCGCTAATCACTATGGTTACGCCTCGGGATAGAGGTACGACAGCCGACTACGACGGTGACGACGACGGCGACGACGACGACGACGACGACGACGGCGACAACGACGGTGACAGCGATCACCCTACATTTGTTTCACGGTGAGTTTAATGAAAAATTGAATAGCTGATTCCACATAGTCAATTGTATGCAAAAGAGAGTAAAAGTGATGAAAGTGAAGATTTTAAACAGAAAAGTGCATAAGATAATTAAGTGAAAAACCAGAAATAAGGTGCAAATTTTTTAAATTTTAGTAAAAACATTTTGATCTTTGTGTGACATGTCTATTTACCTGCTGATAGAATTATAAAGTGAGGAGATACGCAACTAACAAACAGATCGGGATAGAAATAATTAGAAAGAAATGAACTAAGAGAAATAAAAAGATAAAGAAAAAATAAGAATAGGAAAGAGGTGAAAAAGAAGGAAAAAAATCTGGAGAATGAAGGAACAGGTGAGGGGTGGGCGAAGTAGGAGTAGGAGAAGGAGTAGGAGTAAGAGTAGGTGGAAGAGAAGGAGAAAAGGGGTGGCGTAGGGGTCGAAAGAGGGTGGACGAAGGGGAATGGGAAAACGCATACAGGGCTGTTCAGAGTAACATGGAGCGCATCGCGGGCGCAGCGAGAGAGGATATTGACATTTTCGGTCGAGGGGCGCGCATTCGTAGAAGAAGGGGTAGTGGGTAACGGGGTAGTCGCCTCTTTTACCCGATCCTGCAGTATCCATGACTACGCCGTTCGCGAGGATTTCGCGCGAAATACCGGAAATTTCGGACGCGTAATCTTTTATTTTAAATATACTGTTAGTGAATTGTTAGGTGTTTTAAATTCTGCTAAACGACGTAGGTCGCTAGATCGACTATCGCTTATTGTTTGACAAGTGATAGTTTGCGAACCATTTGCTTTCGGAAAGGGTGGATACCGTGATCTCACATCCCGTTACTACGACCGCGGTAGCCCATCCCTTCTTTGATTCTGTCCCTAACCCCTTGTTATCTATTCGTTTATCATTCTATCTCTTACTATACCGTACATTCTTTTCTCTCTTATTATTTCTCTATATCTCCTTTTCTTCACTACTTGGTCTTACTATTTTTTTTTTTTTTTTACTGTTACTTTACTTCCGCCTTTTCTTCTCATCTAAGATAAAACATATTCAACGTATCATCTTCCACTGAGGCGAAGATATCACCAATGGTGAGTTTCTTTTCGAAATTACAATAACAATAAGTCGAAATACCTAACGTATACAAATTGGTAGGCAACAAACAAGTAAACACAATAAGATATGTGTATTTATGTGGAAAGAATAAATATGTAAGAAAAAGAGAGGATGGAGAGGGAGAGAGAAGGGGAGGGGAGAGAGAAAGAGAGAGAGAGAGAGGGAGGGAAGAAGAGAGGGTGGAAGGCGAGGGTGGAAGAACCGTAAAAAGAAAAAGAACGAAAAGTATATGATAAAACGCATTCAAAGGATGTTCAGAAAGTAAGAAACGTTAGAAAGTCTTTAAATGAAAGTTTTTCTTGTTGACAATTAAGTAATAAGGGTTGATTAAGTGCCACATAGTAAATGAATACATGAATACATTCTACTTGGTGCAATGTTTACTTGAATTCTACACTTCGATTAGTGTCCATTTTCTTTCGATAATATAATTAATTATAGTGTCAAATGCTTTTGGTGATTAATCAAAACTTAATTTGAACCTCTACTGTTACTATTACTTGTTATTCATATCTACATATGTTAATGTCTATTTTATCTTAATATCTATTTATCAGATTAGCTGACACTAAATATTACATTTACTTAATTGTTTTTATTTCTTTACAGTAATTTTACATATTTTTATTTCTGTTTATCAAATGATTGCACCATAGTCAATATTCACAATCAGAAACTTGTATAGTTTTTTCAAAACAGAAATTACGATATTTGTAATAATAGATACATTTTGATAGTGAGCAGTATTAAGATGAAACAATAATTGTACAAATAGAAAATATACGTATTGTAGAGTAACGCGTATTATATAGGTGAAAAGTCGGTATCGGTTCAGTAACCCTCTCGGTAACGCCACCCCTATTATTATCCGTAACACGTCCACGCAACACTTTGTTCTGCTTCATTGACCTCGCTAATGTTTGTACCATCGTATGTCACTATGTCATCGAAATATTTCTTTTCACATGTCAAAATAATTTGAGAAAAAAATATAAATATAAAGGAAATAATAAACAAATTTTAAATAAAATAAATTTAAATATTAAATATAGTTATTAGATTTGTTTTTAACGTTATGAAGAAACAAACTTAAAAAAATAGAACGAATAAGATAAGTAATAACATTTCTCAATAAACAACATATATAGATTGACCTAGTTTATCTTGCCAAACGTTTAACATGTTTTATCTTTAAAATCTAGAAAAAGATATTATAAATAGATATACTCACAAATGTTTTATTATAAAATCATAACAAAAATACGAAATAACAAATAATTGGTTTTTCGTTGGATTGTATAAAACCAAATTAATTATATTTACCGTAGTTTTATTTCACAATTCTGTTTTTATGAAGATATAATTGGGATCAATGAAAAATTGAATTTATAATCTAAAGGTTACTTTTGTGCTGTGTAAAACGAGAAAACAATTAGTTATTATTTCAAATTTTTGATCATGTAATAAAGCATTTATGAAACATTTTATTATTAAATAACATTTTTTTTCTTATTTTTGGTGGTAGAATATCCTGACAACATTTAACGGAAACTATAAACTAGAACAGTTTGTATATTTTATATAAAGTTTGTATTTCTATATAAAGTTAATAAGAAAACTATCAAAAATTTGCTTAGGGTAATCATTAAAAAAATAATTTAAATTTAAATAATTATTTGTAAAACATGATTTATAGGGCTAATTATTGACACTGATATTTTTTATTTGTTTCTTTTCTTTCGACAATTTAAAAGAGAATAGTAAAGATAATAATGTAAGTAATTTTTAAATTAATATAGTACGATTATATTTTCAGCGATCATGTCAGGGACAAGCTGATGAACTTTTGAACACTTGCAATGATGTGACAATAAAGATATCTTCTCCTACGTCCTTTCTCATATCGCGGGGTATTGTCCCTGTTACACAGTGCTTCCCAGAATAGAACAAGAGAATGAAATAAAAATTATCATCGGCTAAATCGGTGATTAATGAAAACAGTGCCAAACGTCGATAGACAAACCAATCAACGTGAATGTTCAGCATCTTCATATTTCGAAAAACATCGATAATTAGGGAGCAAGAAAGGAGCAACAAAAATAATAACGAGAGGCTGCGAAACGCACAGAACAGAACAAAACAGAAGAGAACAGGTCGATTCAAATCTCAACGAACATAAGAAAAGCACAAACAAGAGAGAAATAGCGATAGTCGAAAAGAAAGCGAATTGATTATTGAAAGGTGGCGTGGGACAAGGAAGAATCACAGGTGGTATAAGAGAATAACAAGAATGGGCAATAAATTGTCTTGCAGTTGTGCTCCTCTTATCAGAAAGGCTTATCGTTACGAGGATTCACCATGGCAGGCTGGCGCAAGGGGAGGAATGGGCGGCAGCGGAGGTCGGCGGGGTGACACTGGCCACTTGCTCAGGTGCGGAAGCTTAAGAGAAAGGAAGAGGTGCGCATACCATACCATTCAACCATTCAACCATATCCATTCGACTCCATTATCAAATTTTACTTTTTAGGAACGCTACTCTCTTATGAACACACGTTGCCTCCCCTCCCCTAATTCATTTATCCACACACACATGCACACCTCAGGGAGAACATATTAATTTGAATTCAATTAATAGCTTTAA